TGTATAATGTGCACCCTTATTTTTCCCCAAAGGAATTTGAGCAAAAAAGTGCATATTACACATGGCAAAATACGGTATATATAGAACATATAATGCACAATTATGACTCAATCATAAAAAGACAAATTACCCAATTTTAGAACAGTCAAAGGATCTGAATAGACATTTCTCCAAAATAGATGTACAAATGGCCAATAAACAGTATGCCACTAGCCATCAGGGAAATGTATATCAAAACTACAATGAGATACCACTCCAAACTCACTAGGCTGGCTATAATCACTAATACAGGTAATAAAAAGGTAATCAAAAATAGAATGCGGAGAAATTGGAACCTTCACACAGTACACGTGGAAACATAAAAAGGGGCATCCACTTTGGCAGGCAGTCTGGCAGTTTTTCAAAAGGTCAAGTACAAAGTTACCATATGACCCAGCAATTTCACTCCAAGAAAAATAAAAATATATACCCACATAAAAACTTATATACAATGATCACAGCAGCATTATTCATAGTAACCCAAAAGTAGATGCAACTCAAAAGTTTATCAACTTATGAGTGAATCAATAAAATGTGGTGCATGATACAATGGAATATTATTTGGCAATAAAAAAGATGAAGTGCTGATACAGCACAAATACACTTTGAAGACTGTATGCTAAGTGAAAGAAGTGTCAATGAAGGACCCATGTTTATGATTGCATTTATATGACATGTTCAAAGTAAACAAAGCTGTACAGATAAAAAGTAAATTAGTGATTATATAGGGCTGGGCATGGGCATGACAGAGTATGAGGAAACTGGGGGTGTTGGATAAGGAGTGTAGGATTTAGAAGGGGATGTTGAAAGAGTTCTAAAATTAGATTGTTGTGGTGGCTGCATAACTCTGTGAATTTACTAAAAGCCACTGAATTGTACACTTTATGTGGATGAACTGATGGTAGGAGAACCACATCTCAATAAGATTGTTTAAAAGAAAAACATTGCCTCAGTTTCTCAAAAAGTAAATATACTATGTGATCCAGAAATTCTATTTATTCACCCAAGGAAAATGAAAACATATATCCATATACGTACTAGAACATGAATGTTCTTAACAGCATTATCCATAGTACTAAAAAGTGAAAAAACCCAAATGTCCATCAACTAGTGGATAAACTACATATAGTTAATGCATACAATAAATTACCATTCGGCAATAATAAGCAACTAAGTACTGAAGCGTGCTACACCATGGATAAACGTCTCAAAACACATTATGCTTAAAGACAGCACACCCAAAAGAACACATATGGCATGATTACATTTATATGGAATCTCCAAGGGCAAATCTGTAGAGAAATAAAGTAGATCAGTGGTTGCCTGGGACTGGAGGTGGGAATGCGGAGTGACTGCAAGTGAGCAGAGGGGATCTCTGGGGGTGACAGAGATGTTCTACAACTGGATAGTGGTGACAATTATTCAATTCTGTGTAAATACACTAAAATTTGTCGAATCGTATACTTAAAATGAGTGCATTTTATGATATACAAGTTACTTATCAATAAAGCTGTTTAAAAATCGATGGGTTGAAGAATGGAGGGATAGATATGTGTGATAAAGCACTTACAGTAAAATGTTCATTATAGAGTCTAGCTCCTATGTGTGCAGGCGCTCATTGCACAATTATTTCAACTTTGCTGGATATTCCTAAGTTCTTATGATACAATAATAGGAAATCTTAAAAAAAATTTCTCTACTGAGCTGGAGAATCAGAGCCTCACACCACCTCCCCACCAAGTTAGGTTTCTTTTCCATGTGGCTGACCCTCATAAATTTTTTTAAGTGTTTCTTTAATCTCTCCAAAACCTTGTCTTTACCAGGCTGAATATATTTCATTAGGACAAATCACTATAGTCCCCAAATTAATCTAAAGGCTAATTAAATTTCTTTCAGAATCCAAGAAGATATTTTTATATACAGAGATAAGTTTATTGTTAAATTTATAAGGAAAGGCATAGGACCTAGAATAGCTTGAGCAATTTTGAAAGAGAAGAACCAAGTGAGAGAAATAGCTTACCAAATGCAGAGGCTTACTCCATAGCTGCAGTCTCTGGGACATCGTGGCAGAGATGGAAGGGGAAAGGTATAGGTCAATGGAATATAGTAGAGAACCTAGAAACAGAATCTAACTTCTGACAAAGATACAGAAACAATGCAATGGAGAAAAGACTGCCTTTTCAACAAATGGTGCTGAAGCAATAGAACATCCAAGTCAAAAACTCAAACCTCGAGCTAAACCTCACACCCCACTTAAACATTTAGAAAATAAACTCAGAACAAAACTTTGGAACCTAGGGCTAGGTGAAGCGCTCTTAGACTGACACCAAAAACACATTCTAAAGAAGGAAAGATGATAAAACTTTTACTCTGTAAAAGACCCTATTAGGAGGATATAAGACAAACTACAGATGGTAGAAAATATTTGCAAATCACGTTATCTTACAAAGGACTTCATGTAAAAAGCTCTCAAAACCCAAACGTAAAAAAAAAGAAACAATTCAATTAGAAAAGACATGGACACCAAAGAGGATATACAAAAGGCAAATAAATACATTAAAAAAGTGTTAATATCATTATCTATGAGGGAAATGCCAATTGAAACCACAATAACATATGGTTAAAGACTAGTGATTATACCAAATGCTGGTAATGATGTGGAGAAACTGAGTAGCTCATTATAGCTGGTGGAGATGTAAAAGGATAGGGTCACTCTAGAAGAGTGTGGTGGATTCTACAAAAGTAAATACACACTTCACCATAGGGCCATTGAGTACAAAGCAGTAAGAATAAAATGTTAATTTATTCAACAACTGAGTGATTCTCAAGAGAATTACGCTAAGCATGAAAAGCCAAACCTTTGAAGACTATACACTATTTATTTCTGTTTATACATTTTTTTAATCCTCACCCAAGGACATGATTATTAATTTGACTGGGAAAGACAGAGAGAGTAACATCAATGTGAAAGAGAAATATCGATCAGTTGCCTCCTGTATGCACCCTGCCAGGGATCAAACCCACCACCTACGTAGGTTCCCTGACCAGGGATCGAACTTGCAATCTTTCAGCACATATGACGACTCTCCAACCAACTGAGCCACCAGGCCAGGACTACACAATATTTTTGAAATTACAAAATGATAGAGACAGAAAAGATTAGTGGTTCCCAAGGTTTGAGGGGATACTATAAAAAAGTAGCATGAGGGACGCTTGTTCTGTATCTTGACTGTTCTGCATTTTGGTGGTGGTCACATGGGTACACAGGTCATATAGTCACATAGAACTAAATACACACATAAGCAAGTGCACATAAAACTGATGATACCTGAATGAAGTTGATGGATTGTACAGGGTCAATTCCTGTTGTGACATTGTACTACAGTTATGCAAATTTGTACCACTGGGGGAAACTGGGATCTGTCTGTATTATTTCTTAAAACATGTGGGTCTCCAATTATCTCAAATATAAAAGTTAAAAAAAATTAATCTTGATATGCTCATAGCTAAACACAGATAAGACAGTAAAACTACCTTAGTAACTTAGTATGAATGAGGAACTAATCAACTTTTTTGTGTTTTCTCCATTTTTGATACATGGATGTATCACTTTCATTTGGAGTCATTGATTGATTTAATACAAGATGAGTTTCAAAAGAGAGGTAATACTGGGATAATAGGAGGTGACACAGGTGTTCAGGCTGAGACACCAACCCCCTCCACCCATGGCCTTTTCCTTGAGTGACTTACATTCCAGAGCACTTCCTGGTGGAATGTTCTGAGGTCATCATGACTTCTGGCAAGGCTCTGGAATCTTGGGAGCCGTTTAACCCTGAAGACTTGACTATGGTCAGCACTCTTTTCACCATGTTCTGAGGCTACGGTCTGTGTAAGTGCGAGGGCCTAGTTCCTCAGAGAGCCACATGGTGCTCACACAAGTTGGGCAGCACTCACTCCTGCACAAGACAGAGTGTGAATACTAAACTAACCCCTCCAAGGTGTCCCAAGAGAGGTGGGTGGGATCACCTGTGAGTCTTCAGGTGAGTTACTGGGGAATGCAGTAGGAATAACAACAGGCCTCAGATTTGTAGGGGGAGAGCGTAGGAGAGGAGTGGGCAAAAGGGGGAAGGAAGTGAAAATGGGAGGGGAGAACAAACTGGACACTCCCAGAGCACTGAGGAGACAGGGGCTGCCTTGAGAGCCTCAGGAGCCAGGACAATGGGAGGAACGAGAAGCAGCAACCGTCTACCAATCAGGAGTATCGTCCTCAGGTGGGGTAAGTGGCACTGGCCTACTTGAGGTGGGCCGAAGGCACCGCCTCAATCACCTCAAGGGTCTTTCAGACAGACATGGCCACTCTGGTCCTACTTTAGCCAGGCTTGATTGGCCATGATTTAATAGTGGTTCACAGCAGTATTTAGGCAGAACTGATGACAGAAATACAAGTATGGAAGGTCATCCAGCTCGACCCTAATGAAAATGTGACCGAGGCTCACATTTTCTGCCACTGGCCATTGTTCCCTTGAATACTGGTCAGACACAAGTTCTAATCCCAAGCTCAAAGTGCTCTTGTCACAGTCAAGGAGATCCTAGCCACGTCATGGGAACCTCGTCTATAAACTGGTCAAGTCGTATACCTTACCTCCCAGCTCTTTACCGGGAACAAATGAAGTAATTCTTAGTACACTTACCAATTTCTGAAGTTCAGTAAGTAATCAGTAACTGTTAGCTACTTGTATTGCCATTTTTATTATTATTAGGTTTCATGAGGAGCAGGTTAAGTAGAAAGAAATAGCCTAGTAAGAAACAGGTTAAGAACCTTCCTTTTTCCCCCCCTCCAAACAGAGAAGACAGAATCCCTCTGAGCTCTATGTTTGCTGCCACAGAGACTCTCCAAGCCAAGAGTCAGTAGAAAAGGGTGCGCATGGAAGAGCAGGCAGGTGTGTGGTCATTCACCGAGTATGGGTCTGCCAGGTGAGCCAGGGAGGTCATGATCTTGTTCACTTTCTTCACTATTGAAGATATTTATGAGTACGGAATCTCACATTTACCTCCACAGAGGTGTCCTCCGAACAGAAGGATCAACAGAAGGATCCACAGAAAGAGGCAGAGGACAGCAGCTTTTCCTTGTCAGAGAAAAGTAAGTAATAACTCAGTTCCCACACCCCTCTGTAGACAAGTGCAAAGGGAAGGATGGTCATTCTCATCCTTTTAGATGTCAAAGGCAGTCCTCAAGGTAAGTGGGAAGGAAGGAGCCCAGGACTGCCCAGGTGGGGCCCTCTTCTCTCCCTGCAGCTCTGGAGAATAGGAGCCCTCTGGCCTTCAGTCTGCCTCTTCAGAGGCCATCCCTGAGCACAAAATCAGCGGGATGAGGGGCCAGATGACAAGGAAGTTGCTGGAGGCCAAGGCAGGTATGGGTCCTCAGGCGTCCCTCCATTTCTTCGGCCTTGCACAGAATCATCAGTTACTGTTGAGTAACCTCTTGTCATTTTGTCTTCAGGAGGTTGGGTCCAGTCTTCAGGGTGAGCTGCAACAAAAGGACAGAGGACCTTAAGTGGGTCAGGTCCAGGCTCACAGGGAGTCTCTCTTCCTGCAGCTTCCCAGGAGAGCAGCTCCTCGGCCTCCAGTTCAGCCTCCTCAGAAATTATCTGCAAGCTGATGTCCCAGAAGAGGTGGCATCAGAGGACCATGTGGACTGTCAATCACATTGAGGGAACAAAACTCAGGATGAACAGGAGGAGAAAACCCAGTTACCGTCCTGAGGACCTAGAAGCATTCTACCGACTTCTGGGTGTGTGCTTGGAGCTGTAGAGTGCTCAGGGCTCTTCTTACACGGAACTGTGGGGGACAGTGGCTCTGGGGTACACTCACACGTCCCCCAACCCCTGGGCTCTTCAGGGATACGAGGCTCCCAGCTGAGTGTTCAATTAACAAGACACTTCAGAACAAACCACACTCACTGCCGATTGAGACAGTCATCTGTCCCCCTAGTTAAGAATTTAGAGACTAGTCATAAAAGGAAAAACTAGAACTTACTGGCTTTATGCTCAGAGGGCAGAGAAAAAAGACAAAACACAGGGGCAGAAATAAGATGCTCTCAGCCAGTGACACACGCAGAGCAGGACATTTTTGAAAAGCAGAGATGCCTAGAGATGGGGCATGAGCAAGGATGGGAGAGCTTTGTGAACAGGGTACTCACCTCAGGAGGCCCATCTGAAGGTAACATCAGGACCAAAGGCAGGACTTAGGGACACTCGGAGCGCACTGTCCAATACAACACCCAAGAACCACAGGTAGCTATTTAAGTGTAAATTTATATGAATTAAGTACTTTTAAAGTTCAGTCCCCCGGTCTCACTTGCCACACATGGCAAGTAGCTGCCACAGTGGACAGCACAGAGAGGGAGAACATTTCCACCTCCACAGGAAGTGCTGTTGGACAGTGCTCTTCTGAGGCCAGGCTGACTGAAGAGGGTGCAGGGAGGGCAAAGGACCCATTACCCCCGATCCTCCCTGTTGTGCACGTCATAGTCCTGGGCAAGGAGTAAGGGACAGCTATCTTGCTCAGGTCTACACTAGGAAATAGCACCTCCAGGAAACATGTCTAATTCCAGATGAGCCTGCTGGGTGAGGATAGGCCAGGTCATTGTCCATGGAGGATGAGGGAGTCTGGGAAAGGGAGGGTGGGATGCCTCAAACTCGCCACCACATGGGTACTCAGGTGTCAGACGGGCAGGGAAGCCTTACAGTCACAGCATGATGAAGTAACACGGATATGGTCTCGCAGAGGCCCAAAGGCACAGCCAAGCTTTCAACTTGAGGCAATTATTAAACTTTGGGATCTGGGTCACATTTCTGTAGCAAACACCTCCCATGTGTTGAAGCTTAAGTGACAACAGCAAAATCCTTGCCCCATAGTTAAACTCAATCTGCATGTGTCAGTGGAAGGGATAGGAGCTGTTTCTCCTGTTAAGGCTCACAATCTTCCGCTGCCACAGAGGACCCAGAGGAGGTTCTGGTTCCCCCTTCCCTCTGAAATGACCCACAGCCCCAGGCTCACTGCTCCCAGCAGAGTACTCCAAGCCCTCATCCCTCTACCTTCCTTTGCAGAAGATCCCATTATTCAGAGCTTCCTGGAAGCTGACACTTTCCTCAAAGTGTCTGATAAGGTATCTGCCGCACAAAATGATGAGGGACTGATGGGTCTGCAGTCAACAGCCAATGAGGGGCAGGTCCAGAGTAAGATTCCCTCCCTGGGCAGGAACATCCTGGAAAGACCTGCTCTTGGTGCCGTTATCTCCTCGCCTCCCCATGCCATCCCTAGCTAGTCCCCACCTGCCCAAGGGCCCAAGACCCTCAGGCAGTCCCACCCTGAGCATTCTCCCTTACTTTGTGCCTGCAGTACCTGCTGTCCATGGTGGTAGAATACTTCGGCCGTGTCCAGCTGCCAGGATCTCTCTACAACAGGATCCACTTCTTCCTGGCCCTGTGAGTGCCTCCTTAGAACCTGCTCCCAGTTCTGCCCAATACTCCCAGCCCGCAGCCTACCCCAGTCTCACTGCCCAAGGATCTCAAGTGGGGGTGTCCCTTGGCCACAGAGAGGACACAGCTGTCAGGAGTCTCATGGTCATGGGGAAGGCAAGCCATGAGTAAGATCCTGAGATAAGGAAAGTAGTCAGGAGATCCCCCTTGCTGCCCAGAGATGAGTGACTGAAAAAGGCCACCAGGGAAATGGTGGGAGCCGGCAGGCTAGCCCAAGCACAGCAGAGCCCCAACAGGCTGGGCATTGAGGACAGTCCTGCTGCCCTCTGGACCCAGGTGCCCTGCATAGAGGGCTCCCCCAGACCCTCTCTCCTGGACATGCTGCCCCCAGCACCAGGTGTGCCTGAGTCTGGGAGTAGTCACTGGGCCCAGATAGGCTCCTCTCTTCCTGTGGCAGCTACATCGCCTCTGACATGGAAGAGGACAGCCCCACATCCAAGCGCAGCATATTCCAGTTCCTGCTGGGCAAGGAGCACTGGACAGAGCTCTACAAGGAGTTCCTGAAGCTGAAGATGGAGTTTTTCCACGCGATGGAGTACCAAGCCTGGGTAACCCAAGAGCTGTGTGAGGAGGTATGGCAGGACGAGGCTGGGACCACCCAGGGGTGGTGGGCTGGACCCTTCCTCCAGGTGCTCACTCCCTTTGCTTGCCTTTCAGATCCAGGCCCAGAACCCACATCACTGGGTCTGGAGTCGGGAGCGCCAGTGCGCCCCTTAGGCTCCCAAGGGGTCCAGGTGAGTGCAGGTGTGGGGCAGGGGCTCTGCAGAGTCGGATAACTCCACATCTATGCCCTTTCGTTACCTGAGCTGGGCTGGCAGCTTGAGGAGAAAGCGACTACAGCCCTTGGGGCAGATTAGCACAGCAAGGGCTCTGAGAGCTTCTGTAACAGGAAAAGTATCTGCGTTTAGTTCAAAATTCTCCCAATTAACTTGACTATGGAATCACGTACTATGCAGCACAAGTCCCAATTAGCAAATCAATTTTTTTCTTTTAGGGAAAGTTTTATAAACACTGATCTAAGTAATGAAAACCTCTGCAGAGTTTGGATCTGCACTGAAAACTTGAAACATAAATACATGAAAAACACTGGGGCCATCCTTTCTTAAAAAGGGACTGTGACCATGGAGGCTCTTGGGAGGAAAGAGAAAGACAGGCTCCAGCCTTCATCACATCTGCATGTTCCTCCCACATGAAGCAAGCCACACTGAGCCGGGACCCTTGAAGGGTGTGTCAGGGACAGAAGAGCCCACGAGGCTCTCTGTTCTCTGAAAAAAATATCACTAGGGGAAAAGGAAGCAAGTGCACAACAGAACTGTGAAGAAGTATACAAGACGACATATTTACAAGACAATGACCACCTCTCCAGAATCACACCTTTTAGAGTGTGTTTTCCTTGGTTTAAATTTAGGTTTATATTTGGATTTACCTGAAGTGGGGGAGATGGTCGGTGAAATGCACAGAAACTCTTTCCCTGGGCAGAGGTCATGCTAGAATAGTCCCAGGAGTGGGACCAGCCCGCCCACTACTGGGCGTGCTGGAGCCTCACTGACCCTCAGAAAGGAAGATAGGCCAGGTGTGCTCCAACATAAACCACGGAATTGAATTCATCCACAGGCTTTTTTCTGAGGACTAAGAACTACTGTGCATGTCCGGAATCTCAAAATTCCAAGAAAATAGCATTTTTAGCACAGTATAAAAAAATATTGCAGGTGGTCTGGTCACTTAAAAGAGCATGAAGGTAGTAACTGATTTTCCCTGAGCTCCTTTCCAATGTGTACCGTGTGGCAGAATTTGCCTTCCCCTCTGATCTTACTTTCTCACTTTCTTGAAGCTCCAGCCACCCCCCCGCCACCTACATCTCCCAGACATGGAAGCTGCTGCCTCCTTCTCAGGCTCCAGGGAGCACTAGTAGGGGGCCTCCAGCTTCCTCAGACCTGCAGGATGGACAATGCATAGAGCCCAAACCACAGGAGCCTATGGCACAGTGGCCCCCAACCTCCCAGTAGTCAGCCAACAAAGGCCACCGACCCCTGGATGTCCTGGAGGGTCTAGCAGTAATGTGGAGAGGCACCCAAGGAGCCAAGAGACCGAAGCAGGAGCCTCTGTGAAGACTAAGGACCAGCAGAGGAAGAAGGAATCAAAAGTCTGGGAACAGGCCTGGACTACTACCAAGGAGGAGGAACCTGAAGGGAGAGGCAAAAAAAAAAAAACAACTGGAAGATGGCAAGGAAAAGACAAGTCAGAAGGAGAGAAACACAGGAAGAGAAAGGAGGAAACCTGCCCGTCTAGACAATTGGCATCTGTAGACAGATGCACTTAGAGCCTCTCCAGACAACCTAAAGAGCAGTCTTGTCCAGTGCAGAGATGGTGGGTGTTTCAATCACAGGACTAAAGGAGGCTGGAACCTAATGGTATGTCCATCTGAGGCCAATACAAAACTGGGAATAAAAGAGAGAATCATGTGCCATTGAATGTTTTGACATTGCAGAAATAGCCTAATTTTCAAAATGAGAGAGAGAAAAAAAGAAAGACCCTTGAATGGGTGCTGGGGAGAAGTGGGACGGTCCCAAGGGAACCATCAACACTGGAAGCAAGATGGTGAAAGCTGAGGTTAAAAAAAAAAAAAAAAAGAAGAGGAGCCCTATGACGATACTAGTTGTAAATATATTAAAAAAAAATGAACCATACTAAGTGCTAAGAGTAATGAGTTCAGCATTTTTAAAAAGCCAACAGTCCAAATAAACACAGAGTAAATATTAAAAAATACACTAAATATCATATAAAGACTGAGATTTAGACTGACTCACAAAGCAAAACCCAATTCTATGTAGTTTGTAAGAGATTATCCTTAAATCATTCAGAGGTGCTAAAAAAAATAAACAAAGGGACACAAAGAAGATGCCTCAAACAGAAGGTGGAATTGTGATCTTCACACAATTCAGGTTCAAAGTCCTTCAGAGAGACTGGAAAGGACTCCTGGTGGGGTGGGTGGGGGCCTGGGCAGGTCTACTGCAGCTTGATTTGCTTATTTGTGTACAGGTTTGACAGATATAGGAGCTGGGACAAGCCCCTCTCCATAAGCTATGAAGTCAGAGGTTTCTCCTCAAAGGGTAGAAAGTGGCCTATTCAAATTAAGATTAGACAGAACCAAGGGAAGTTCCATGGGCTGAACCCAATGGTTTCCTGCTAATGGCCCTAATGGCCTCCATGCCTCAGAGTTGCCACAGCTCATGTCTTCACAGAGATGTCAGCATCTACCAGAAACAATAATCTGAGTGTATGAGTGTGTAACTCTACTGCATCTTTAGTTATGTTCATCTACAGAGGCATTAATGTGCATTTCTATCTGTGTAAGTAGCAAAGATGGATGTAGGGAATTATTAAGTTAGGACCCATACTGTGATAGGCCAGCATCTGATCCTCCTCCCCTTCGAGTAGTCACATGAGGTGATGTAATGCGACTACTTCCTGCCAACAGGGTGTGACTGGAAGTGACATTGCCACTTCCGGGCCAAAATACTTGAGAGCCGGGGGTATTTCCCCAGCCCTTCCCTTGCCATGGCTCCGAAAAGGCTGGGATGGTGAGAGCTACACTCAAGAATTTTTGAGAACCCGTGAGTATCTGAAATTGATTCTGATGACACTAGCATGCCTGCCCAAGAGCACACCGCCCAGAATATCCAGAATATCCTCTTTGCTCCCTACTAACCAATCACTCAGCCCAGTATACAAAGTCAATGCTGTCTCCAGACTGTATGCAATCTTTTACTGTGCTCCTTCTTATAAAGCTTGATTTTTCCTTTTGTGGACAACATTTTAATGACTGTTCTCCCTCATACATGAAAGTTCATTTGTGTGCAGGTTACTGTCTCTCAAATCATTTTTCAGAGAAAGCACACAAATTATAAACAATTGAGAGTGAAAACACAGTAACAGTTGTCAAGATATTGAGTTCTTTAAATCTAAATTCAAATGGAATATTTACAATTTACCATTTTAACTTTTCTTTGTTAGTTAGAGAAGGAAAAGCTACTTAAGTGCAAAGGGAAGCACATTTTGCCTTCCCGGCCAGCCCCTCTCACCCATGCTTCCCAGGCAGGAGCACATGCTTGGGGCAGTTGGGTCAATGGAACACTGACCATCTTGAGAAGCAGAACCACTCTGACCGCCTCTGGGTACATATCTGAGAAATGCCACCCCTGCTGCAAAAGCAAAGGCCACATGGATTTTTGCCAAAATCTCTACTGAAAGAAGGTTTATATTTGCTCTAATTTTTACTTTTAAAGCTAAACACCACAATTCAGGATGTAAACATATGAAATGACTAGAGCTTCTACCAGTTTATGGTCCAGGGGCCATTTAAGAAGCATAGAGCACTTGTCACAGTCTAGATGGCAGGGAGCTTTCTTCTTTCTGTGCTATAAACCTGAAGCTGGAGATGTCTTTATGAGTATTCTTCATCATCATTTAGTCCAGAGACGCCCTGATACAGATACACATTCTCTACATTTTGGGTGGAAACAGACAATTTCTGAAGCCCTGTCTGTAGTGGAAACTTCCTATTTTCTCTAGAACAGGCTTCATGTTAGGTAATTCTTCCTTAGGATATAGATCTCCCATTTAAGGTAATCATTCATACTTTGAGGATGCCTGGCACTGGCACACGAAATATAAACTAACTTTAAACAGGACAACTGTGACATCTTAGAAAATGCTGAAGGCCTTTTGTTGATGCAAAAAAATTTAAGAGCTTCTTTTAAAACTCTGCATTTCTGAGCATTAAGTTACTTCACTTGAACCACCATAAATGAAAGACTTTAAAAACCATTGTCCACCACAGCTCCCACTGCTTTATGCTCTGGAATCCCAAACTAAATCATCAAGAGTTCTGAAAACAAACCAAAAAACTTTATTTAAAAAAGTAAACTTTAACTCACTTTTATAGATCATGTGTTAATGCTGACAAGCAACAGTCTGCAATATTTAAAATGCTTAGATTTTAAAATACATTGAGGTCTGTGAAGCTCATTTCCCCCTAATTATATTATAAAACTTACAAATGTTTCTTTAGCTTTGTTGTTTGGTCATGTTTTTATGCAGAAGTCACATTTCAGGGCAGGTTTTTCACCAGACATGATCACATAACCATTGGCTGCGGGTTTCCAAGAAGCAAAGGAGCTAATCTTAGCAAAGCTCGCACAGGCATTTTCAGCTGTTTAAATTTGAAGAGGAGTTCAGCAAAGCTTGTGCTCCCTGAAGAAATGCAAACAGTAGAAACAGTCACAACTAAATAGATTCAGCCCCACACCCTCTCTCAAGGAGACTTCAGCCACAATCAGGGTGGCATTCTTTCCCTTTGAAAATAATTACCCAAACACAAAATTTAAATTATGAATTTCCCTAATGCACTGTAAAATATAACGTGATACAAAAATTTAAATTCACCCATTCTGTACTTCAGAAAGTGACCTATAACTAACTATATGTGAAACTATTCTTATTTAATTATATATTATTTAAATACAATTAATAAAACTAACAATAACTTTAAAAATATCCATTAAGAGAGAATAATAATATAAACATTTAGTTTCTCACTATATATAGGTGTTTGGGTTTTGTGAAGAAGAATGTATCCTTTTCTGAATGTAAATAAAGGTTTATACATGTGTAAAGTTTACAGTTTTTTCCAGAAAAGATTCCAAAAAGTAATTCCA